CTGAAAGCAGAGAAGAAACCACACAGTGTACTCCAGGTAAGTTTGCTAATTGAGGAGCAGAAATTTAAAGCTAGACTTACATGTTTTGCCACTTTGAGGTAACTGTTTGCAGTCATTTGACCCTGGTGAACCATGTGGGATTTTATGTTGAGAACATTAACATCACAGACCAGCTTGATTACTGAACCAAATCCAGACTGGTTCAAAATCCTCCCAAACCATTCTCTGAGAGCCAGTGTGGTGTAGTGGTTAAGAGCGGTAGACTCGTAATCTGGGGAACCGTGTTCGCGTCTCTGCTCCTCCACATGCAGCTGCTGGGTGACCTTGGGCCAGTCACACTTCTCTGAAGTCTGTCAGCCTCACTCACCTCACAGAGTGTTTGTTGTGAGGGAGGAAGGGAAAGGAGAATGTTAGTCGCTTTGAGACTCCTTCGGGTAGTGATAAAGCAGGATATCAAATCCAAACTCCTCCTCCTCCTCTTCTTCTTCTCAGAATCTTATTTCATGAAGACTGTTCTGAAACATGAATCCATCCAGGCACACTGGCTTGGCTCTCGAACCATGGGTGTCTGGGGCCGTGCACGCTGTGGGGGCATGTGCAGTTGATGTCCCATGTGCCCGCTGCTGCATTTTGTAGGTGTCTGATTCCTATATGGGGAATTTTGTGGGTGTTTGGGCACCCAAGACCTTGACACCTATGAATCTATCTTGAGCCCAATCTAACAGCCAAATATGGTTGAGTTACTTGTACACAACTTAAAAGAGCAGAACTGAGTCTTCTAGTGATTAAATGTCCCTCTGACTCTCCACACTGTTTATTGCCTCACTTCAGCTGCGGGAAATTCTACAGTGCTTATTTTTATCTTTACGCATTTATAAAAATCATTCAGTTTAGTAAAAATAATGAGAATTACATGCAATGAAATAAATAATATATTTGTACCATTTAAATCAGGGGTGACTAACTTTCATCCTGAGGGCCAAACTGATGGTAAGCCATCTCTCTGTGGGAAATATGCCAAAGTTGGTTGTGGCCATTGTATATGTGCATCGACACATGCATACATGTTTATTGTGCATACAGATCCCCCCCACAATAATAAATAAGAATAAAATTTTATTTATATCCCGCCCTCCCCAGCCGAAGCTGGGCTCAGAGCGGCTAACAACAATAAAAGTAACACAGTTTACATAAAATCACAATCAATTAATTGAAATGCATTCTAAAATCAATTCATTCTAAAATCAATTCAAAATCAACTTAATGGCAACCATTGGGCTAGAGTTCTATGAGGATTACAGAAGGAGAGAGGGGGTCAGACTGTGCCTTGGCCAAAGGCCTGGTGGAACAGCTCTGTCTTGCAGGCCCTGCGGAAAGATGTCAAGTCCCGCAGGGCCCTAGTCTCTTGTGACAGAGCGTTCCACCAGATTGTGGCCATGGCCGAAAAAGCCCTGGCTGTGGTTGAGGCCAGCCTAACCTCCCTGTGGCCCGGGATCTCCAAGATGTTTTTATTTGAAGACCGTAAGGTCCTCCGTGGGACATACCAGGAGAGGCGGTCCCATAGGTATGAGGGTCCTAGGCCGTATAGGGCTTTGAAGGTTAAAACCAGCACCTTAAACCTGATACTGTACTCCACCGGGAGCCAGTGCAGCTGGTATAGCACTGGGTGAATGTGATCCTACGGCGAGGACCCTGTAAGGAGTCTCACCACGGCATTCTGCACCTCCTGGAGTATCTGGGTCAGTCTCAAGGGCAGCCCCACATAGAGAGAGTTACAATAATTAAGTCTGGAGGTGACCGTCGCATGGATCACAGTGGCTAGGTCAGGGCGAGAGAGGTAAGGAGCCAACTGCTTAGCTTGGTGGACATGAAAAAATGCCACCTTTGTTATAGCTGCAATCTGCGCCTCCATGGAAAGGGAGGTGTCGAAGATTACACCCAAACTCTTAATGGATGGTGCTGGCACTAATTGCACGCCTCCCAAGAGATGGAAAGTGCATTTACGTCCGCCACATTCAAAGCTCAAACACATTGCAAAATTTTTTACAATGGGACTGACATATGAAAATGGTGCGAACCCAATAGGATGTGAACCCATAACCCCCGTTCCAGGATTGTACTCAAGTAAACTGTTAAAAAGCACATTTGTTTGCTTTTTTTTCTTGCCTTGCTAGGAAAAGTCAGAAAGAAAATTCCAGAGAAAGCAAACGTCCTTATCTCAGCATCCATTGCAAAAAATAATGGATAAAGGAAATCATTCGGTGATAACAGCGTTCATTTTTCGGGGATTCACAGATAATCCAAAAATGCAGCTCCCTCTTTTTATGGTCTTCCTACTGATTTATGTCTTCACTGTAATCTGGAACGTTGGGATGATTGTCTTAATTTGTGTTGAACCTCAGCTTCACAACCCCATGTATTTTTTCCTGGGCAACCTCTCATTTGTTGACCTCTGTTATTCCTCAGTCATTGCTCCCAAAATGCTGGCTGACCTCTTAGCTGAGAGTAAAAGTATTGCTTATAATTCTTGTGCTATACAGCTATATTTATTTGGCTTATTTGCTGATGTAGAATGCTTTTTGCTGGCTTTGATGGCCTATGACAGGTACGTGGCCATCTGCAAGCCCCTTCACTATTCGGTTCTTATGTCCAAGAGAGTGTGCAGACAGCTGATGGCTGTAGCTTACTTCATGGGCATCGTGGATTCAATGATACACACTTGCTGTACATTCCGGCTACCATTCTGCAGGTCTAATATCATCAATCATTTCTTTTGTGATATACCTCCCCTACTGGCACTCTCCTGTTCTGACACATACATCAATGAGATTCTGATATTTACCTTCCTTAGTTTCATTATAGGAGGCAGCATTGGCATGATTCTTGTTTCCTACGTCTATATCTTAGGCACAATCACAAAAATGCACTCCACTGCAGGCAGGCAGAAAGCCTTTTCTACCTGCACCTCTCATCTTACGGCCGTTGGGCTATTCCATGGGACAATGCTCTTTATGTATTTTCGGCCCAGCTCCAGCTATTCCTTGGACCAAGACAAATGGGCTTCGGTGTTCTATACGGTAGTGATCCCCATGCTCAATCCTCTGATCTACAGTCTGAGGAACAAGGATGTGAAGGATGCCCTGACAAAAGCACTTGACCACATAGAAGTGGTTTTGCTTCAGTATAGTCCTTGGCACATAGAAAGAAAAGGGAATGGTAAAAGACCCGTGGATGGTTAAGACTAAGAGGTGTGACACTCATCTTGCTTCAGGCCGAGGGAGCTGGCATTTGTCCACAGACAGCTTTCCAGGTCATGCGGCCAGCATGACTAAACTGCTTTTGGCACAACAGAACACTAAGGTGGTAACAACCCCCTCACATATACCATGGGATGCTTCAAAGGCAGTTTGAAAGGAAAACAGGTAGCAGTGGCATGCGGTGTATGTATGATGCATCCAACTCTTTCCCCCCGTAATGTTTCTTTTCTCTCAAATTCCCATTAATTTCTCTTGAATATAAACATAAAGACAAATATATGTGTAATTTGTAACATTACAAATAAACAAGTTACATCTTTTCAAGAATGAGCTCTAGCATGCTAAAAATTATTTAAAGTTTCCTTCTGTATCAATTTATTATGTTTGTGTCTGCCTTTTGTAACTCCTATATGACTAGTAAGGTTTATCATAGAGGAGGGCAGGACCCTGACTAACTCCAGCTGCAAAAGCTGAAGCTGCTGAGGCTGCTAGAGACCTCTTTGGTCATGAGTCCTGGAAAACCTGCTCCCTGCCTTGCAGACCTCTTTCCACCTGGCCTGGGAGGGTGAAGCCCAGATTGACTCCAGCTACAAAAGCTGTGGCTGCTGAAAAGAATCTTAGGCTGGTGTATTGTTTAGGGGGTTAATTATTTTTTAAATGTTCTTAGACATAGGAATATGTCTAAAATGTATAATTTGTTGTTGGAGTGGCATACAAAGGATGAACAAGTTAAATCGGTTATGATTGATTGGGCAAGAGATGTGGGACATAATACAATGATGGAGGATTGGGAGAGGCTATGGAAGAAAGGGGTTAAGTTCACTGCAGGTACGATGTTAAAGGAAAATATTATGAAGATGATGTATAGATGGTACTTGACCCCTCTAAAACTAGCAAAGATTTATCACAGTCGTGATAACCTTTGTTGGAAATGTAAAGAAAAAGAAGGTACTTTTTTCCATATGTGGTGGACTTGTCCCAAGGTGAAAGACTTCTGGGAGAAGATTTATAATGAACTGAAAAAAATGTTGAAATATACCGGTACATTTATTAAGAAACCAGAGACCTTTCTTCTTGGAATAACAGGTTTGTAATTGCCCAAGAAAGATGTTAAATTATTTTTGTATGCCACAATGGCCGCCCGAATATTACTTGCTAAAAATTGGAAAACACAAGAATTACCAATAGTGGAAGATGATGGACTTTTCGGAGCTAGCTGACCTGACTGGAAGAATCCGCGACCAGAAAGAAGAGGAGTTTCAAGAGGACTGGAGGAAATTTAAGGACTATTTGAATAAATATTGTAATATAAAAAAATAGAAATTACTTGAAAGAAACAAATAGGCCTAGGATTAAACTAAGTTATAATTAAATAAATGGGATTTAGAATATTAAGAAAAGTGAATAAGATGGACTATAATTGGAAATTGTTTTAGTTTAATAATGATATTGGAAAGCTGTTACTTTTAACTACAAGGAAACTCAGAAGGGAGGGACTAGAGGAAGTCAACCAAGATGTTTAAAAGGTTGGATTTGTAAAGAATTAAGTTTGATGTTATTGTTTATCTGTTTATTGTTCCTTTTTTCTTCTTTCGTTCATTGATGTATTTTTCTTTTTTCTTTTTTTCTGTTTTTGTGTGTCATTCTGCTTTGTGGTTTTTGTTATAATTGTGCAAAATCTAATAAATTTTTATTAGAAAAAAAGAGTCACCTAGTCCACCCCGCTGCAATGCAGGAATCCTTTGTCCAACGCTGGGTTCGAACCCATGACCTTGAGATTAAGAGTCTCATGCTCTACCAACTGAGCTAGGTGCATTGCATAGGACTATGAAAAAGGCATTAATCAATTTATTATGTTTGGCACAGAAGCAGAACCAAAGTCAAAGTGAAATATGCTGTGCTGTGCAGAGGGAAAATACTGTAATTGGACTTGTGGGAACCAATCTCAAAGGCCCTACAGATTTCATATGGGGTGAAAAACTGAGAACACTTTCTGGAAATTCTAGAGGCCAGAAAGCCAGAAGTGCAGGTATGAAGCGCTCACTCCCAGATGCTTTTTGCATTTCTGACCAGAAACATAGAAGCTTGCAGAATGTACATCAAAGAGTAGGCCCTTTGGAATGAATGTACAGTGGTTGTGATGAATGAATGAAAGTACCTCTGGTTGTGAACGGGATCCATTCCGGAGGCCCATTCGCAACCTGAAAAGAGCGCAACCCCCGTCTGCGCATGCGCATGTTGCAATTCGCCGCTTCAGTGCATGCATGTGATGTCATTTTGCGCGAGCGGTGAAACCTGGAAGTAACCTGTTCCGGTACTTCCGGGTCGCTGAGGGACGCAACCTGAAAACGCTCAACCTGAAGCAAACGTAACATGAGGTATGACTATATGGCTAGCTTAGGGACGCGGGTGGCGTTGTGGTCTAAACCACTGAGCTTCTTGGGCTTGCCAATTGAAAGGCCAGCATTTTGAATCCATGTGATGGTGGTGAGCTCCCGTTGCTCTGTTCCAGCTCCTGCCAACCGAGCATTCAAAAGCATGGCAGTGCAAGTAGATAAATAGGTACCACTGTGATGGGAAGGTAAATGGCGTTTCCATGCACTCTGGTTTCCGTCACGGTGTTCTGTTGCACCAGAAGCAGTTTAGTCATGCTGGTCACATGACCCAGAAAGCTGTCTGTGGACCAACACCGGCTCCCTCGGCCTGAAAGCAAGAAGAACGCTGCAATCCCGTAGTTACCTTTGACTGGACTTAACCGTCCAGGGGTCCTTTACCTTATATATATATGTATATATGACTAACTTACACCTATTAATTTGGGTGGGTCTACTCCAACCAAGTATATTCTGTTGGATAGAACCCTGCATGGTGGTTTTTTAAAAATATTTTAAGCACACATTGCCAGTGAAGGGACCCCAAATCCAGATTCATACTTGCTCATCTAATTCACAGCCCTTGCTATAAGCATGGATGGTGACTTGAATAAATTCACACTTACTGTGGAAATCACTGGCAGATTTCATCCATCCATCTATGGGTGGATGGGCTAGCTCATATACTGTGTTGTTTGCATCAGAGATGAGCTAATTTCAGGGTTCTTGGATCTACTTTACTTTTTTAGTAGATCTCCCCAAGGTTTACCAACTAGAGCCATGTGCAAAAGATGTTCTGTTAGAATTAGAGAGTAGGCTGACTCTGAGCCCACTTTGCCCCTTGGTCTTCGGTTCCAGAAGAGAACTGGCTGCAAGTCCTTTCATAAAATCACTTTACCTTTGACTCCTATAGGACCTGATGTTCAGGATGGCTAAAGACTAATGGGATGGAAGTATTGTTTAGGATTTTTTTTTTTGGGGGGGGTCGATATTTAATTTTGGAGGTGCTTAATTTTTGCTGTTATGGGTAATTTTTGTTTGTTTGACCTTATTACAAATGATGTGGTGATGTTTTCATGTATTGCTTATGACCACTTACATTTGATATATTCTTGTAATTATGTAAATATTTACATGTTGTAAGCTGCCCTGAACACTGTTTGACTCTGGAAAGATGGCACACAGTGCTGGCGCTAATGACAGAAGTCTAGTCCCATTAGCTTTCTTCATTTCAGCAGCCTAATTTAGCTACAAAATATTCTTTGGCTGTTTGTTGTTGTTAAACAATTGGGAGGCATAATGACAGAAACCCTTGCTGATCTATTGGAAATAACCCAGAGTTCTACAAGTAGACCCAAATCTACCTTCTGGCCATCGCTGCTCATTTTGACTTGTGAATCAGACAAAGCTGACAGGGCTGGGCATCAATAAATTTATTGCTTTATTTAAATGATTATTGAAACATTTTGGGTAACATTAGAATGCAAAAGGAAGGTAAATATAATAGACGAATCTGGCTATGGAATTCTTTTTTTAATGTATTTTGATAGTATAACATGGGTTAAATCAGTGGTTCCCAAACTTTTCATCCCCAGATACCACTGGTTTTTCTGCTTGTTGTAGCAACAGTAATGCACTGTGCTAGATGCTGTGTGGCTTTTAATTGATTTTTTAATTGCTTATTTTATTTCTTATGTTGCGTTTTATTATATTACAATTTTAATTCCAAGAATGCCACAAGTTGCCTTGGGATGTTGTAGTTTTTTCTTTTCTGAGAGGTTTTTTTTTTTTGAATGAATGAATGAAAACGAGGTGAGCATTTCATCAATCCTTGCTTAAGTCCCAAGAATTCTATTGATTTCAGAGACAATGTGATCCTTTACAATTTTGCATTGAATTAAAAGGGAAGAAAATTAAGAAATTGCTATTCCATAGGTATCTTATGTATATCAAATTCAGGATATCTATATCTATATAAAAATCTTATTTGGAGAAAGTAATTAGGTAAAGTGTTGTTATTTCCCTCCCTACTTTTTCTCATGCAAAGCTCTGCTTCTGTATGCACCATGCTGGGTCCCTATTCAGAATCAATGCATGTGTCATTATGAGATACTGAGGGATCATTTGTAGGGGACAGCAATTCCTATAATGCTTTGCTTGGGAAGCTGGCCATTGTTGGTCACCGAAAGCTAAAAGAGATAGACTTCTGTCCTTCTCCAGGCATGCAATTGTTATATTAATTATTAGGAAAACTAAATCACTGTCATCTCTTTTTGTTGTTGCTATGACATCAATCATAGGTGAATCTGGATACAATATGAGAAGTGGTAATCTATCATGGAACATGGAGTTTGTCCTTTTGGGCTTGACCAGTAATCCGGTAACACAGAAAGTCCTCTTTGCTCTTTTTCTGGGGATGTATCTTGTGACCTTGGCAGGGAATATTCTCATCATGCTGGCGATAAGAGGGGACCCACACTTGCACACACCTATGTATTATTTTCTGAGCCACCTCTCCTTCTTGGACATGTGCTACACCACCACAATCATTCCTCAAATGTTGTCCAACTTCCTGGCAGAGCGCAAAACCATCTCCTTTGTGGGCTGCATGGCACAGATGTACATCTCCCTGTCTCTTGGAGGAATTGAATTCATCCTGCTAGCTGTCATGGCATACGACCGGTACATGGCAATCTGCCATCCCTTGTATTATAATGTTCTTATGAACCAACGGCTCTGCATGCAGATGGCAGTCGGGTGTTGGCTCTGCGGCTTTGTGAATGCCCTGTTGCAGACGGTGTTCACTCTGCACTTGCCATTCTGCGGAAGGAAGACCATCAACCATTTTGGCTGCGAAGTCTTAGCCGTCCAGCAGTTGGCCTGCTCTAGCACCTTTGTGGGAGATGCTGTGATGCTGGGAGCTGGTGTCCTCATTCTGCTCACACCCTTCTTCCTTGTGCTGGTGTCTTACGTGTACATCGTCACAACCATCTTCCAGATCCGTACAGCAGAGGGAAGGCGCAAAGCTTTTTCCACTTGTACAGCCCACCTAGTGGTGGTGACCCTGTGCTATGGGACAGCCATCTTTGCCTACTTGCGACCTAGGTCCCACTATTCACCTAAGCAGGGGAAGACTGCCTCATTGTTCTATTGCATTGTTACTCCCATGCTGAACCCCATGATCTACAGTTTGAGGAACCAAGAGGTAAAGGGGGCCCTGGTGAAGGTTGTTGGGCTAAAGGGCAAAAGGAGAACCCTAATTTCCTCATGATAGTCTTTTGTTCTCCATCAAGTTCATTCTCAGCATCTAAGCTGATCCCTCTATATCCTTACCTGGGTGTTGTAAGTCAGTGGGACTTAATTCTGAATCAACATACATTGGATTGCACCTTAAATCAGTCAAAACTGGCAGGGTTGAAGTTAGGTGAAATGATATATTTTCCAACCTCACTGGCACCCAATCTCCACTACTTTGTATGAAGGCTCAAGAAGGGAGAAAAGGGTCTTTGTCAGTTATATTAATGATTACTAACGACTGCGAGCACAACACACAGTAACTCTGAGCATTTTCTTGAATTGCTCATTCAATTCCTTTCCTGCTTACTTGGAGTAACAGAGGATCGGAGGGAACTCTCTGTGTGTCCCCTTTAGCTATACAATGCAGGTAATACCCTTTGGTCTACAGAAGCTCACATGCACATTTAATAAGGTTGATAGTCTTGGCTGTGCAGATTCTTTGGGTATATTTTCTTAGTAAATATGTTAACTCCACCATGTTAGGGACGTGTGAGTTACAAGCAGGTTCTGGCAGGTAAGTCAGTGTGCGGGGAGGGAAGGGTTATCTTTTCATTCCCCCACCTCAGTCGAAATGGAGATTACCCTACCCTTCCACCCTGTGCAGTCAGAAACTTTAAAAAAAAATCCCTTGAAGAGATAATCTCCACTTCCTCACATGCTGTCTTCCCAGTAAGAACAGTGGCATTATTTAAGGAAATGAAGATATGCTACCTCATGCTATGTATTAAGAGTTAAATCCACTCTTTAGCACTAATTTGGAACAAATGACTATCCGGGGAAAACTTGATTGCCGTTTGTTCCATTTCAATGATAAACTGTGGGTGTCCCTATGGGAAAGTGGTGGAGCAAGTGGAAGTGGGGATGAGCCCTGTGACAACACGTTCACTCTGTAAGTTCTGGAAACTTCAAGAACTTACTTCAAGAGCCTGCAAGCTCATCCATGGCTCCGTTTGCCCTGCTGCTTTCCTTCAGGGAAACCCAATCTTTAGCGCTGAATTGGAACAAATGGAAATTGGGTTTTGAACAGATTGTCATTTGTTCTGATTTATCACTAAAGAGTGGGTCTTCCAAGGGAAAGCAGTGGGGCAAAAGGAAAGCTGCTTGGACCAATGGGCAAGCAGCAAATCGCTTAGTCCCATGCTTTC